AGCGATGTAATTCGTCTTACATGTTAACCAGTGGGTCGTTGTACGGCATTCGTTGTACAATGCAGGCTGCATCCGTCGTAACGCGTGGTCTTTCAAAGGAGTAAACGAATGAATGGGCCCTTCATTTTTAGTATTTTTCGGGATGAAAAATAAATGGTCATAGTAGAGTCGGGACCGCTGAAGAGTCTTGAGATCATTACAAAATCACTTATATGACGCATGGGTAGTGGGCATTCACCAAGCTGGTGATGGTTTAAACCCAGACTTGTGGGCTTGGGAATCGTACAAGGTACCATCAACCTATCCGTACTAACTCCAGTAATTAGTTTCACGTCAACACGGCATGTGGGATAACAACTATCCACATCTCCAAATGGATCATGATTGTCATTNTCATTACTTGAGCAGAAATCACCTGCTGGATGCAAACAATGTTGAACCACTGAGCATGCTACTCGAGGCTGAAACAGTGACCTTGCATGATAAAACACTGAGCAAAATGGTTCAGATTCTTTTGCCTTTGTATTTGATCATCTTCCTTCAGAATACTTTCACATCTTTGTAATACAATGACTTGATTATCTATCGCCAACGACAAATTTCATTGTTCTTGCATCCATTTGTAGAACTTAAAGTTTCACTGAGAAAGTTAACTGTTTAATAATCGACATGGTTGAATAGTGTCATAACCCGAAAAGACTACGCTCTTTAAGTGAGAATAGACTTTACGCACGTTCTTCAATCCAAGTTGTCCAAGTTCACCGAATATAAGCACCAAACAGAATAAGGTTTGTCACCCAACCCTAATAAAGTGAGACGAATCGCATTTCTGAAACAGAGAACGAGTAGGCTCTAACCTCACTTTACTTGCATGTTCGGTTTAATGGTGACTTCCATAGACCTGTGTATCAGGAAAAAATGAATGATTTCACTTATTCTCAGTAGACAGCGTTAGCGCGTCAGATGTGTTATCATTCTTCGTAGACTACTACATTCCCCAGTCTCAAAGATGCAACAAAACACGTTCAATATAGGAGTTCAGCCATACCACGTAATGTCAACTTTCAAATTCAGCGCTTTATATTTCATTTCTATAATAATAGATTTTATTGAATTAAAACGGTATACGATCAATAGTATCGACACTTTTATCTTTACTCTAACCGCTGATATCTATCTTCTTCAGGTTCAATCATGGAAATGAAGCCACAATTTGAGTTGTCATATATATTGAAATGCCTTTGTCAGTATTGTACAGGTCTAATCGAAACTGAAGTAACA